AAAATGTATATTAGCAACAATACGTTTTTGGAAAAAATATATTACGAGCAATATATTTGACTCTCGACAAAAAACCCTCTTTACAAAAATGCGTTAATGAAACCTGATCTACAAACTGATTTCTTATAAAGAATACATATTCTATTCATATAAATCTATTCTAAAAGTCTTCAGTATCTGTCTATATTTCTGAGATGAGGTGCTATGTACACGATTTACATGTAAAATAATAAAAAAATAATGTAAATCTATTCTAAAATTCTTGTCGGCATTAAATAATTCATTGAAGTTCTGATATGCTGTAAAACAAAATAAACGAAACCAAATCAAAATTGTATGCAATAATAGTGCTGTCAAGCAAATAACCATCCTCTTGACACACTTTTTTCTATGGGCACGAAGGTTAAACATTGCTTGAAAGTGTTTATAAGTTAAAATCAAAAGTTTCCTTACTAATAATTTATAAAATTAGAATAAACTGAACCAAAAAAAAAGGAACGACAAAAAAAAAAATGACACTAGGGAATCCAGTCTACCCTACTATTTAACAAATAGGTGGGTGAAAGAAATTGCCCCCCCCCCCACTTTAAACAGTGAAACACTGAGGCCTGACCACCATGATTATATTCTAGAGATAAAAAAAGAAATAGAAATAAGATGAATGAAAAACTTGTTAAAAAGTTAAGAATAGTGTTTCATTTAATAAGTTCATACAATTCCTCATGGCTTACGGCCACATCATGTTGAAACACCTGTTTCCATATGATTACTGAAGTTAAGCAGCATCAATCCTGGTCAGTATCTAGATGGGTGACCACTTGGAAATACCAGGTGCTGTAAGTTTGTATGTGCAAGTGGTATAATGTCTAATGGCTTGGAATTGATAATCAGAGAGCAAAGTTCCAATTCTGGTTGGATTCATTATATTCACTTATGGGCAAATACTCTTGGGAAATGTATGAATTCACCACTTCTTCCCCCAGCTATGGGTTAATTAGTATGACTTGTGTCACTAAACCATTATTATTTCCAAAAATAAAATAAAATAAAATTGTGTACAAAATATTTTGATTTAAATAACCTGCAAATGGTTGCTATGTCGTTTAAGAAAAACAACCAATAGCAATTCATATTAAAAGTGATAATTATTTTTAGAAAGTAATTTTTATTATATTTTTATTTTAGGATCACAAAAGACACCCTTGTGTGCAGCGAGCACTTCAATACTGAAGATTACCGTCCCCGTACAAAACGGAACCGTCTTTATGGACAGCCAGGACATTCTCTTATGCTCAAAGAGAATGCCATCCCTACACTGTTCTTGTGGAATAACTGGGGTGGAAAACAGCCAAATTCTTGCTATGAAACAACCAAATTACTTTCAAATCAAGAATCAAATCTCCTGAAAGCATCTGCTGTTATTTTAATGCACAATTACAGTCTTCCCAGCACATTAGGTGCAGCTGCAAAAGTCATTCAAAACATGCGGTGTTTCATTGATGAAATACAGTCAAATCACCTGTGGTTTTCTTTGGAACGCCTTGGAACAGACAGTTCTCTCATTGAACATTATACAGGCTTCATGTCTTATAGAGTAATAAAATCCTTCTACAGCAAATTTGAAATGTGGCAACAGTCTGCTCAAAAGTGGTCAAAAGCCCATTCCAAAGATGAGAGCCCAGAAGTGCTGTGTCAAGGGTCAAATGAGAGTGGCCTTCAGGCCTTTGATGAATTCATCATATACCAGATGTTTGTACACTGTGGACTCACAGAAAAAGATCTGTCTGCAAGGTTCATGGTGCCAGAAAGTACCATTTCTAACCTGATTACGTCTTGGACGTGTGCTTTGTATACTTTTCTGGTTTCAATTCCAGTTTGGCCAACCAAAGAATATTTGAGAAAGGACATGCTACCCAATGCTCTCTGGAAATCAAAATATGCAAATACCCGGGTGGTATTAGAATGTGCTCGATTAAAACTGGATAGTTTATCTTCTTTGATATTTACAAGTCAACTGAATACTAAGAGTTCTACGAAATCATTGTTCCAGGCAAAGAAAGGATTGGTAGGACTTGCGCCAAACGGTGTTGTAATATTTGTATCGTCTCTCATGTCTGACTTACTCCAGAATGAAGACGTAATAATAAAATCAGGGATTTTGGACTTGTGTGACAGAGGTGATACTATTGTGGCAGAGTCCAGCTTCTCATTAAAAGAAGAGTGTTTCCGCAGGGCTCTTAAACTTCTTTGTCTCAATTTTCAGAACGAGTCGGAAGATAATTTTCAAAGTTTTTCAAATGTAGAAGATTCTGCTTCCACTCCTCCATCTAATGACGAAGTCTTGCACCTGCGATGGAACGTTGAACAAGCAATGGAAAGAATCGCATCCAATGCTCTCTTTGTGAAAACCCCTACCACATTTGTGATGAGCCTGATTTCAAAGATGTGGGTAGTGGCCTCCCTTCTTTCTAATTTTCAGGGGCCTTATTCCAAAGATTAAACTCACTTCAATAAGGTACAAAGAAAAATCTAAAGTGAAGGGAAAAATTATTTTACTAAAAGGTGAACAAAATTTGATATTATTTACATTTTGACTAATATCCTATCACACAGTTTCAACCATTCTGCCCACTCCCCGTCCTATAACTTATTTTTCAAATCCTTCCGTAATGTTCCTGACTGTGCTATTATATACCATGTCTTACCAACAAACCTCTTTTTCCTACCGCGCTTGCTACTCACCAGGCAGCAATCAAACAACCTTTTACTCCACCTGTTATTTGCATTATTTGGACTGTTATCCTAATCTTCACTGCCATATTCACAACGTTTCGGTCGTTGTATGCTCTGGCCTTCTTCAGACGATTCGAATTTTGAATAAAACCCTTTATTTCATCCACTGGGGTAGATTGTTCCAGTTCCACATGCCATGCTCTTTCCGGATGTCTCAGTTATTTCCCTTTAACTCAACTCTCCAAGTTTTGGTTCATCACTGCTGTGGCCTGGTATTGAACTCACAATTATTTGGGTCTAGTCACCAGATGGATGACCCTTGCATTTCAGTCGACTCGTGTATATGCTGATTTCCTCATGCTCTTTTTGTGATTCACTAAATGTCACTAGATCACAGGGGTCTATGGTTACCGAGCACATGGCTTGAGACAGCAACAATATTTTTCCTCTTATATACAATACATCTGTGACATACTCTCTCGCAATTGATAAGTATCATTGTTGCTTGTCTGATTTCATTGATGTCTTTTTTTTTTTTTTTTTTTTTTTTTTTTTTTTTGAATGTCGTTTGTGGTCTGAAAACAAGGTGACATTTCTGCCTTCAATCTGTGGCTTGAAGTGCAAGGCCGCCTGATATGCTGCTAAAAGCTCTCTATCAAAGGTGGAGTATTTTCTCTGGTTTTCAGACAGCTTTTTGAAGTAAAACCCAATGGGAACTGGATCACCATTTATTATTTGATGCAGTGCGGTATCTACTGTATAATTAGAGCTATCTGTGACTAGATGGTATTGCTTGGCATCTGGATCAGGGTTGTGTCAAAGCAGATACTTTGGCAAGAATGTCTTTCATAGCAGCAAATGATTCCTTTTCAGCTGGGTTTAGTTTTAGTACTTTAGCTGTTGGATTATTTTTGATGGCCTTAGTTAGAAGCAGTAGCACCTCTGCAGCTTGTGGCATTAGTTTCCTGTAAAAATTTACCATTCCCAGGAATTGGTGCAGGGATTTTGAATCTGTGGGTTCTGGAAAATTTTTCATGTCTTTCACTTTGTGTCGTTGGCTTTAATCCTTCAGTGCTGACATTATAGCCCAAGAAATCAATGGTGTCTTTATAGAATTGGCATTTGTCGATTGAGATTTGAAGGTTGTTCTCTTGTAGAATCAAGAGAACCTTCCTGAGATCTTCTTGGTGTTGTTCTTTAGATTCAGAGAAAACCAGTATGTCGTTGATTCACATCATAAAATATGTTGTTCATAAATCTCTGGAATGTCGAGCTACTGTTACATAAACCAAATGGCATGAACACATATTCAAACAGACTAAATGGTTTTATCATAGTGGATTTTTCAATGTCTGACTCATTCATGAGAATTTGGTGATAGGCCTGTAGAAAATCAATCTTTGAAAACACAATTTTCTTGAAAAGTTTAGATCCTAAGCTGTTGATATTTGGGATCAAATATCTGTCTTGTTTTGTCAGCTGGTTGAAATGTCTAAAATTGCCACATACACGCCATGTAGTGGTGAGGACCAGGGGGACTTTGACGGTCTAATTATTCCAGCTTGAAGGTGTGCTGTGAACTCCTGTTTTGCTAACTTGTATTTTTCTTCCAATAGTTGTCAGACCTTGGCATAGTTAGGGCCACTATCTCCAGTGTCTATGAAATGTGTTACTTTCATGTTAGACACTAGAGGCTGCTCTGTACATGGTCTGGGGAGTTTTGGAAGTTGTTGGAGAAGGGACTGCACTTCTGGTAGATTATTGTGGTTGTTCACTTTTATATTTTGGATCTGTGCAGTGACCCCTCCTCCTTGTATATATTGGTGTGTTGTCTCATCAATGAATCTGCCATTTCTACAGTCCAAGATGAGACCATAATGGTGCAGGAAGTCTGCACCTGAGAGGGGGTTGATGGTATCTGCGACTACTAGAGTCCACATATATGAACGGCGTAGGCCCGGAATTCCAATGTCGATTACTGCTTCGCTGAAGCACTCGATTTCCTTTCCGTTTGCTGTTGATAATTTCCCAGGTGTAGGATTTAGGCTTAGACCGAGTGCCATTCTCTGTGATAAGATGGTTATAGAGGCACCTGTGTCTATCACAAATATTATATCACCCATCCCAATTTTGGTAGCAACCTTAAATAATTGCAAATTACTGGTTGCTGATGCAATTTGCATTATTAGTCTTCCAAAGCTTGGGAGGTAGCATGTCTGGCAAGTGAAGATCGTCTTGAAGTGGGCATTATGTTGCAGCCAGACTGGTTTACATGTTCTGGACATCTTTGCATAGTACAAATGTTCCCAACATACTCGAGGCCTCTAGTTCTCAGAAAGGTCTGGAGTTTTAGGTCATTCTGGGGGTGGGGGGTGGCACCAGTGGAGACAATAGGTCTAAAGTATCTGCTCATTTGTGGTGTAGTGACGCTTTGTTCCATTCTGTGTTTTAAAAATGACTGTATTTCATCAGCCAATGTACCCAGTTCCATCAAAGAGGCATTTTTTTTATGGCTGCTATTACCGACGTTATTTCTGGGGAAGTGCCTGGATGAATTGATGTCGAACAAGTTCATCTCCCACCCCAACTCTGCTGGCTGTTGCCATTAACTCATGGAGATATGCTGATGGTCTACCTGTCAGTTGTGTTTTGGCCATTAATTTAGCAAGCTTTTCTGGTTTTGTGCCATTATAGCTTCTTTTAATTCTATATACTTTCTTGGAGCTGTAATGGCAGACGGTAAGCTGGCTATTAGTTCTGGTGGCATGGCTGACAAGACATGATAGAATTTAGTGGCTTCGCACGTTATATGTCTTAATTCAAATTGTGCCTCGCAAGTGGCAAACCAGCTGTCCACTGCTGTGTTCATAAAAGGTGGGATTTTGATTGAAACTGCAGCTGTACTGTCTTCCATTATTGGTATATTTTTTTTTATATGTGACAAAAAGGGAAAAAAAAAGATAAAATTAATTACTCATGTCTCTTTTTTTTTTTTTTTTTTTTGTACTTGTATGTGGACTTGACTACTTTTTTTGGTGGTGGAGAAATAGTAAGTCAACACAGGGCGGTAGAATGGATTCCTTTCCCTTCTTCTTTGCTCATTAGTGATTGTGGTGATGGAAGGAAGTTTTCTCCATGAGTGTTGAGGTAGTTTATATATATATATATATATATATATATATATATATTCAAAGTAAAAAAAAAAAAAAAATTTTGCTCTTTTTCATCAGAAAGTTTTGTGATGGTTTACGTGTTGTAAGATGAAGTTTTTTTTTTGTGTGAAGACTTTGTTGTTGGTATCAGAGGGTTGTGTTTTCAGATTGTGTCATGGTCACCATTTTGGAGTTTTTAGGGTATTGTTGCAGACTGGTGAATGTATTTTGAGTGATCAGAAGGATTTTTAGTGTTGGTGTTCTAAAAACATTCGTCTACAACAATTAAAGAAAAATATTAGAAACAAATCATGGCGTATTGTTTCGAAACGTAACAATTGAATTTATTAAGTATTTGATATACATGCATGTGAACTGAAAAGGTTTTGACAGAGTTATGTCTCTTAGACTTGGAAATATTTGTACTTGAGCTCATAAAGTGAAAGTAATTATTATTAAACTGTAATTTAGAAGAATGAGTTGTTGCATGTTAGGAATTGTCTGTTGGACCAAAAGAGTTGAGAATTGTACTTGCGTGAATGTTGTAAAGTTCTTTAACATCTGACTGCACTGGTCAAGATGGGAGTTCTTGAAGGTCACATTTTGGCATCAAGAGATGAGAAATGAGTGAGTAAGAAGATGAAGTTGAAGAGAGAGAATCACTTGTGTTTTGTTTATATATGATCGGGTATCACATGACCGGCTCAGATGGAGAACACGGGAAAACAGATTTGTCGTGTGCAGGCGGTTTGATTGGTCTGAACTGACCAATCAGCGAGCTAGTTTGAAGTGGATTAATCAATGAATGCTTGACATATATTCACTTACAGGGAATAGTTTATTTACCCACGCAGAGGTGACTGGCTGACGTGGAAGATTTCACAGTATAATTCTTTTGGTGTTTCTGGTGATTTTGTTTGAACTCCAGATCCATGTTGAATTCTTTTTTCTGAAATAGAATGTTCAAAGGAAAGAAGGAGACAGAGACACTGGAAATAGATTTAGGAATTTTATTACAGAGTAGCAATGGTCTGTTGAAGGGAAGTGCCTACCCGAGCAAAAGACATGTTTTTACCCGTTGAAAGTTCAGGGGAAAAGAGAGTGATTTTTCTTGTTTGTTTTTGGTGACAGAAAGCCCTTCTTTTTCTCTGCATGCACCATTTGTTCTTCCTGACAGAGAACATCCTGCGAGATTCTTCTTTTTTTTTTTTTTAATCTTATTTTGTATTTTTATTTTATCAATTATACAATCTCCGCAACTCATACATCCATTGGATATTTTGTTTTAACCTATTAATACTTACTGTAAAAGTCATTATTAATTAGAAAAAGGTACTGATGACATTTTACTAATATCAGAATCATCAGATGAAATAAATTCTAAATAGTTTAAAAGTGAAAGTCTCAGTGGATTGATTGATTTCTATGTTTTATAGTTCGTTAACCAAAATTTATTTAAAGCCAAAAAACATTTTTTTTTAGATTGTAAGACTTATTTGGAGATAATGATTTATTGATTAAGTCCTATTAATTAACCTGTAGCTTGTGGGGGCAGAAGAGGTGGATTTATACCCTTTCCCAAGGGTCTTTGTGCACAAGTGAATATAATGAAGCT